AAAGATAAGTTAATGTTCAACCATTACTTTCAACACACCTGGTGACCCATTCTTCCTTACCATTACTTTCAACACAATTGGTGACCCATTCTTCCAACACACCTGGTGACCCAATCTTCCAACCATTACTTTCAACACACCTGGTGACCCATTCTTCCAACCATTACTTTCAACACACCTGGTGACCCATTCTTCCAACCATTACTTTCAACACACCTGGTGACCCATTCTTCCAACCAATTCTGTCAACACACCTGGTGACCCATTCTTCCAACCATTACTTTCAACACACTTGGTGACCCATTCTTCCTTACCATTACTTTCAGTAAAAGCCACAATAGGTTTTGAAGCTCTTCCTTTTCCAAATACATTGTAAGCAGCCAAGCTGACCTCATACTTTGATCCTGCCTTTAGATGCATTACCTGATAGTTGTTTATTGTTCCTGGCAGGTGGAGCTGCTGTTTTCTTTTGCCATTTTCTTTGATTTCTAAATTGTATTCTGAAAATCACATGACTATAATGAGTGACATGAAGAACCCGACTAATCTAACATCAGACCACAAGTAAGTCGTTACTACTTAGCTTCAAAACCATTGGTGCTAAAATAGAGAAAGATATAACCAGAAAGTTCAATGACACTTAAACACCCATAGAGAGCTTGAGAAGTATTTGAATGATGAAAAGTTTGAATAACTGACTGATGTGATATAAAATAATAACTAAACCATTACTACTACACTAAAGTTACTTTCATTCACATCTTTGAAAATGTTTGAGTAAAAAAGAGAATAATGAAAGTATTAATTCAGTGATTAGCTACGTAATCAAAGATTTCTTGAATATACATACGTAAAACAGGTAAACTGATCTGTGGGGTTTCCCAGTCTAACTTCATAGCATCATAGTCTACACTTACAAGTTTTAGGTCCGGAGCTGACGGTGGATCTATTCAATAAAGATGAAAAGTTTGTTTTAGATGATTCTACTCAATGAGAAAAATCTGGTAAACATAGAAATACATTACAGATAAAGATTGGTTTAATCCACTACATAGAGATTTAATATTTTTACAGGTCAGTATTGTTTACATACCCAGTTCAGTTAACAAAAACAGAAGTAGCTAAAACATGTTTAAAAATATGTTCACCTCCCCGGAGAGTGGCAGACATCACTTCCTCTGACGAAGGTCCGGTTCCTGCACTATTAAAAGCTTTCACAGTCACTATGTATTCTGTTCCAACGTTCAAACCTTGAATTGTTACTTCTTCTTCATCTTTGTCTGTGACGTCATCTTTCGTCACAGTCTCATAAGAGAATCTACTTGAAGAGTCCTTGACCTTGTAGCTGACGTAGTAACCTTTCAGGACTCCGTTCCAATGCTCTCTTGGGGGACTCTGAGAAATAAAACAGTAGATAGGAGCTATGAATAACCAAATTGATGACCACC